CGGAAATTTGCTGACAATAAACTAAAAGAAATTCTTGATAATAATGATAATAGTAATATCAGTAGTATTAGTAACTTACAACAAGCACACAAATCACATCCAGATGCATATCATACAAGTAGAATCTTAGATGATGAAATTACTAAATCAAAAAGCTTGAAAAGTTATACAAGTAATGATAGTTCATTAAATAGTCTTGATATCAACTCACTTCTCTTAAATGTTGATTTTAACAAAGGTGAATAAATACAAAATTTCATTAATTAATTAATTAAATTATTAATTATTGTTTATTATTAACAAACTTTTCCATTCTTATTTAATTAATTAATAAATATTAGATTCTAGTAATAATAATTAATAATAATAAGAGAAAAGATGTTGAAATATCAATTAATGATTAATTTATTCAATATATAAATCATGCGTGTAAGATTTTTAATATGCACCCTAGGTCATAAAATAAATAACTTTTTTTTAATAAATTTTAGCCACTTAAAAACTTTGTTGGTCATAATGTATTTAAAATGCTCTAATATTAATCATGAATGAAGCTGAGCCTTCAAATGATTCTGAATGCAAAAACAAATTTATACCGACCACCATGTTTTTAGAGAACATTCCTGAAGATAATGATGTTACTGAGAGGAAAATTCTAGTATGCATTTCACAACTTGGAAAGTTAGTATTATGTTAAACAAATGCGCACAAGAAGACATACGAAAACAAACTCTTGTTTGAAGATGATAATAAAAGAACAAACAGTAATTGGTATTTAAATCTTTCGCATCCTATCTTTTATATATAAATATTACTGCATTTTATACTTGATCCTTCTGCAAGAAGATTTGAGTCAAAAAAAGCATTACCAAACCTATTCTAAATGGATGTGTGTAGATGGGCATTTAAAACCTCTTGTAATAGAACGGTGCATATTAAAAATATACCATGCGTACAAAATTTATTTATTTTGTGATTTTTAAGTTTTATATGCAATTGAATTGAATTTCAGAGGGAAAAGGTTTATTGAAATTAGATTGTTGTCAAAGGGACTGTTAAAGCCTCTCACTTTTCTGAAGCCCCTCTCATTTGCTCCACGTTTTTCACCTCTACATTATACAGTAATGAATAAATCATCTGCATATTCGTAGAAGATCTTATTAAATCCGATGTCAGATTTAATATTCATTTTTATTTTTGGAAAAGAAAAAATTGGTTCTTAAGCCTAATCTCAGTATTTTCAAATTCATAAAATAAAATAAAATAATATAATAACAACATCAATTGCCTTCATTGTTTATTAAGGAGCAAGCAAGTCAAAAAGGCCAGGAACCGTGATTGGGATGAATGTTTAAACTATTTCTTCTTTAGTAAGATGGGGAAAGGGCATTGCCTTTGGTGACTGCTTTCGGAGTAAAAGCATCATTGTTAACCCTGACAGTGCCAATTGATGAGATCGTTCCTAAATTGATTCCAGTGATCTTAATGAAAGAAAAAGCATGAAACTCACCGAAGGACGATAGACAGAAAAAAGACTCCGCATTATAACGAACAGCGAGGTCTTTACTCTTTTCTCGCAAACCATTTTTAAAGAGTTCTTATTAATTTTAAAGGAGATTTGGTTAACCAAACTATTTTTGTGTTTGCCAAATATTTCGGCAATCTTTTGGAATCATAGCTCAAAAACCAGAAGCTATTGCCAAATTACTTGCTAAAAGGGCTACAGTCACCAAAAGGTTATGTAATCGTCAAACCTGGACAACCTATCCCTAATACTTCCAATGAAGCTATTAACTAACTAGATTAAGAAACTCGAAATCAAATGGGAATTATTACAGTATAGTATTAAGAAATTAAAAGAAAGCTCAATGGTGCAAGTTTTTCTATGCATATCTATTTAGGAAAAACAACTGGTATAGGTGAGGCAGATGCTTCTGAATTAAAGATATGAATACTTCCATGTTATACAGATTCAGTGGGTTTTATAGAACATTTGGCAGGCCAATTAGTAGGTTCTATGGATAATGAACATAGATAAGATATCCGGAAATGTATTATGCTAAATAAGGTAAAATGAATAAAAGGAACAAATCATGATGTCAAATAACCAAGAATTTACCTTTTTTGCTAGTGACTTGTTTGTTTCCGGCTTAATCATTTTGTACAGCAATTAGTCAATGACGCTATGTTCACTTTGTCTGGATTGGTTACAGTTGCCCCATTGGCTTGTGTTTAGAGTTGAAATAATAATAGGACGTGAAAAGCCTTGGTAGACATAGATTTAAGATTGAATAGTAACCATCCACTTTTTTTGTAAAAATTCAAATATACCATATTAATTTATCAAAAATGGGTTTTTTTATTTATTAATTGTGTTATTAATTGTTTTTTAAACTATCCTGATCAAGTATTGAAATCATTCTATAACTAAACCACTTACTGTTAATGAACTTTTGATGCGATTTTGATAGAAAAAAAGTACTTTTACATATTTAATTAACGATAATAAATTTCCTAATTCATACTCAATATAAATCAGTTTCTGTAAAATCTACACTAAACCCTTGATCATGTAATAATTTATTTTTAAGTTTCTCCCTTTTTTGTCTTACTTCAATCTCTTCTCTTTGTGCTAATAAAATCTCATCTACCGGAACTTGTCTAAGTGGTAGTTCATCTTCTTTGTCAAGATCCTTTGGTTATTTTTTGTAATTTTTTAGATTTTTAAAATTAAAAAATTGGTAATAATAATTTAAATTGTCATTCATTATCTACTTACAATTTCTCCTAACAATACGACATTTTCTCCTCTAATTATAAAAATTCCTCTTGGGATGTCTCCATAAGCATCTCCTACATAAATCCTTTCTATTGTATCTTGTAATACCAAGTTTGCTAATACATATACATATATATATATATATATACACATTGATAGGAAGAAAAAGAAAGGATCACATTAGATAATTTCTTGGAATGAAAATATATTTATAATTATGTATTTATAAAAATATATAAAACCAAATATTTATTGTCTTATTCTACCAAATTGGTCAAATGATCTAAGTACCCCAATTAACTTACGACCATCACGAAGCACTACCAATAATTTTCCTGGAAAAATGTAAATGATATTATTAATCAATTAAAATTTTACTTTTCCTTTATTGCTTGTTCACACTCACACACTAATTGACTATTATTATTTTTATTATTAACTTACGATCGACACTATCAACCAAACTTGCAGAAGTTGTGAATATCTGTCCAGGAATAAAATTGTCCATTAATTTTATTAAAAATAAATATAAAGTTGAAATTTTAATTTGGGTTGAAAATAAATCAAATCTTTGAATTCTTGTTGTACGACAAAATATCAATCAAATTTATTTGTATGATAAATGAGTTACCCGGCTAAACTATTATAAGAATAACCAGAATGGCCGTATTTGAGATATTTACATTAAATTATAATTTTTTAATAATAATAATAAATTGAAAATAACTTCTATTAATGCGATTTCTAACGTTCTAATTTTTAAAACGAGAGCGCAATGTGAGTTTTTTAGTTTATTCGCATATGCATCGTGTTACGTCAAATTTTGATGTTGGGCACAAAGGATCTCACATTTTCGAGACATTTAAATTGGCCAATCAGATTTTACGTCCAAATAACCTATGATTATTAAAAATTCTTGGTTCCAATCCAATGTTAAAAAGTTTTCCAACTATCAATATGAACATATTTTCTGAATTGTTTTGGGATGCGTTGGTCATCGTCTACCCTGCTACGTACAAACATTCTCTCTAATTACACTCTTGATAAACACAATACAAGATAGAAGATATCTTTTATAACCTTCTCGTCGTTGATTATTTTCGATTTACAAAAACTTCTTTTTTCTTAATTAAAAAACGACAATCGTTATACCATTTAATCATCTAATACTAATGCCAATTAATATAGAAAAAAAAGAATTGTTTAATTAAAAAGGCGCTAAAAAGATCATCTAATTATTTTAAAGGCATTGAAAAAAAAATAGGGAACTAATATCTACCTTCTCGTTGAAATTGAAATTCATATAATAAAAAAAAAAAAACAAAATAGATTTCTTTATTGTTGAAGAAATCAATTACGATTCCTTTTAAAGACATCGCCGTCAAAAAATCATTGTAACTTATGTTAATATTCTATTGATACTAAATGATGCATAAATAGGAGTGCATTTTCTTCAATTAAACAATGGTTTTTTACCTCCAATCGCAAAAGCTAAAGATGGTCATTCCACAAATCCCATACACTTCCATCTCTTGAAAATCCCTAGGTATGATTTGCATTGCCCATCCCTTGATCAAGCAACCTATCCACGTCTTTGTTGTTCTGAATGTAATAAAGATTTTCCAACTCTTTGCTCATTTGACAAATCATAAACGAATAATGCATCCTTTCAATTGTGGGAAATCTAAAGAACAAAAATCAAGAACTTTTGATGAATTCTCTCTTCTCCCATCACAACAAAGGCAACCTCTTTTGATGAAATGTATCTAAAGGAATGTATATCAGATGAAGAATGAACAATTATAGCATTAATGTATATGAGAATGTATATGAGAATTTTATAAATAAATTTCATATATATATAAAAAAAGTCCAAGTCCATAATGATCAAATTATTTACAACATGTGTGACCTAAGATACTCTGCTACCCCTCCACCTCCTAAGATATATGTCAGCACCCGATTCTTTTTAACTTTTTAGTACTTTGATATATAATTAGCCCGCCTGATATCTTTGAATGTGACCTTTGATTTTTGTATGGGTCAAATTTGGAAATTTCCCTGTTGATTTTATTGCTTCTATAAATTTTAATCAATCAATACTTGCGTTAAAGATACTGGACGTCACAAGTCGCAAACCG